TGCCTATTCTGGTGCCATCAATGTCCCACCAAATAATTCAATCAAGTGTCCCTCTCCTCCACTTTGTTGTTGTTGTTGTTAAGTGCCATCAAGTCGATTCCAACCCATAGCGACCCTGTATACGGTTTCCAAGGAGCAGCTGGTGAGCTTCAAACACCGACCTTGCAGTTCAAATGACTTTGTTATCTGACGCATTAGCCCACAGTGCCACACCAGGACTCCTTCGCTTAGAAGCTGGTAAAAGTAATCCACAGATATGAAGAGTTCTGATTCATGTGTGTGACCAAAGGAAGTTATAGGGCTTTATCCCTGGCTGAAGTCTTCTACTCCAGGAAGGAAATTGCAGAGCCTTAGTTCCTTTGGTCTACAAATCTATTTGCTAGGTCTGCAGCTGGATCTATGATGGCTCTGCCTCCTCTAGGCTCTCCCAGCCTCTCCATCTTAGGAGATAACTCTGTCTGGGTCTTCCAAAGTCTACTCATCTGAATTAGGAGTGAAAATTTCCACTCATTCACCAGATGTGGAATCTGTGAGATGACAAAAATATCTGGCCTTCTGGACTCATTGAGGTCTTGGTAGGAATCGCTCAGCTTTGTTAAAGGAAAGAGTGAACAATACCTTGCAGATCAGTTTAGGATTGCTGAAGTTCAAAGAAAAGGTGATATGTTGATGTTCAGGTGAAATAATGAATCCCAGGGAGGAAGTAATTCTGTTCCATCTCAACTTGCCAGAAGATTTAGTTCCCAGACCTGGGGAGCATAGGTTGGCTCCCCTTCTTTGGAATGGTGACAGTGGAGCCAAATCTACACAGATTGGCATTTTCAAAGCAATTCCAAATATAATCAGAAGAATGATATGGATATGCCAGGGAGTCAAGGAGGTCAGTGTAGTTTTTAGAGACCAGGATAAGCACCTGGACTGCTAATCATAAGGTTGTCAGTTCAAACTCACCAACTGTTCCTCAGGAGAAAGATGAGGCTTTCTACTCCCATAAAGATTTACATTCGCTGTGAGTCAGAATCGACTTGGTGGTAGTAGGGTTTATTTATTTATTTATTCATTTTTGATCTTCATTTTAACTTCCTACATGAGTGATTATTATTCTAATTTTAATTTTCTTTTAAAAGAAAGAAATTAAAACCAGCAATTTTGAGAGGGAAGGTGGCATTTTCTGAGGATATAAGCAAGCACTCATGGAGGTTGGCTATGATTACCTGATTTCATCAGGTAAAAAAATGACAGATAAGATCTTAGTCTTCTCTCAGCAAGGGATTCCCTATACTAGATCACCATACCAAATCAGTCACCACCAAATCGATTCCAACTACTGTACACCCTACATGGGCAGAGGAGAACTGAGTAGGCCTTTTAAGATCAGATCACCAAGCCTGTCTTCTCTGGGGCCTCTGGGTGGGTTAGAACTGTCAACTCTACAGTTAGTTACCAAGCACTTAACCATTTGCACCACCCTGCAATGCCTACCAGATTATATTTCCTCCTAAAAAATATCAGCAAAGGCACAGACTTCCTTGGATTGAACTGGAGGCATGAGTTTGACTTTAAAATGCTGTAAGCCTGGATTCTGATCAAGTCACCCATTCTAATATCTGATCTACCAAATTTTAGGTTCAATTCCAGAATTTGGAATTAAATTCAAGTTTCTGTTTAGTGAAGCATGTTAGTGAAGTAGAAACCTGATTTTGTAAGGTACCTATGAAGTGTGGGTCTTGATGTGGCACTTTAAGATAAGCACTGGACTGTTAACCACAAGGCTGACAGTTCAAACCTACCAGTCACTTTCAGAAATCCTATACAGGGTCACTGTGAATTGGAATAGACTGAAGGGCACTTAACACAACAATGAAGTCCTGGTGTGGCGCTGTGGGTTAATGTGCTGGATTGCAAAGTCACTTTGAACTGTAAGGCCGGTGGTTCAAGCTCACCAGTTGCTCCTCGGAAACCCTATACTGGGTCACTATGGGTCGGAACTGACTTGATGACAATTCACAACAACAACACTAACATGCCATAAATCATAATGACTATTTCTTAATTTGTGGCAGATGGAATTTCCTTTAAGAAAATACACCTTTGAACATTTGAGAAGTCAAAAAATATGTTCAGAGAAAAAAAGATAGTGAATTAGAAAAACACTGAGACTCATCATAGAAAATGGCCCCAGAAAAACTTTAATTTCTGGTTCTGTACCTTACTCTGTGGCCTGGGCAAATTATTTAAAATGTCTCTGAACTTTGGTTTTCTCATATGTAATATGAAGATAAAAATATCTATCCCACAGGGAGATTGTCAAGATTAAATAAGGTAAGATACGTAGGGCCTCAGTAAGCATCCTGGCTGTTTTATTTTCGCTATTACAATTTATCCCAGGAAAGGCCAGGCATTTAGTTGTAAGAACATTATTGCAGGTTGAGACTTGAAAAGAACAAATGATAAGTTATTGGCATTTCAACAATAAACATCAGCATGTGATGTTTCTAAGAGAATACTTAAGAATATCCAGAAAAAGTCAAGAATTCATCTCTACCATCGATGTGTAAAACTTCAGTTCAGATCCTTAAGCATTCATTAATGGATTCAATTTCTTGGAAGAGATCATTCATAGGCATCAACTTCAGAGGCTTAGGTGTGGTGCAATAAGAACAGATTTTGAAATCAGATTTTTTCATCTGTCCATTTCTGACAATGCACCCATACGTTTTTTGTTTGTTTGTTTTTAATCTTTCTCAATCTCTGTTTCCCAATGTCTGTTGCCCATGCAAGGTTGTTGTATCAGGAAGATCATATGGAAAACACCTAGAACAGTCCTAGTTTCATACCAAAACTAATGCCTTGGAGTCAAGTCAATTCTGACTCATATGGTACAGAGTAGAATGGTTCCCTAGGATTGTCTTGACTGCAGTCTTTACAGGAACAAATCACCAGGTCTTTCTTCTGCAGTGCTGCTGGGTGGGTTCTAACTGGTTATGTTAGTAGCCAAGCGCAAACTATCAGCACCACCCAAGAGCCTTTCCTGATATATAAGAGGGTCACAATAAATAGAACTCCAACTTCTGGGTGAGTGAGTGGAAAACTTGGGCTTCTAATCCTAGGAGGTGTTGGGCAAGTAAATATTTAACTTCTCTGAAACTCAGCTGAACAAACATCTCTTGAGCTTTCAGTCTAGAATCAGGAGCTAGATTCCCCCCTGGTGTCACAGAAGGTTAAGCTTTGGACTGTAAACCCAAAGGTTGGTGGTTCAAACCTATCAGCAGCTTTGTGGGAGACAAATGAGAAGGTCTGCTTCAGGTAAGAATTGCAACCTTGGAAATCCTAGGGAGCAATTCCACTTTGTCTTATGAGTCAGAATCGACTGGAAGGCAATGGATTTTGTTTTTTGTTTTGTTTTGTTGTTGTTGTTTTTTTGTTTTGTTTTAGCATTTATCTACTGTTTCAACTTAGAGCAAGGTATTAACTTCTTTGTGTCTTGGGTTCCTCATTTGTGAAATGGGGCTAATTGTTGCTGGAATTAAAGGCACCCCTCTGGTAGCGTAGTGGTTACGAATCGGGCTGCGAACCTTAAGGTCAGCGGTTCGAAACTACCAGCTGCTCCGCGGGAGAAAGATGAGGCTTTCTACTCCCGTAAAGATTTACACCCTCGGAAACCCTGTTACAGGGTCGCTATGGGTCGGAACCGACTCAACGGCACTTAACAACAACAACAACAAAATCCACAGAAGGAGTCCTGGTGTGGCGCTGTGGGCTAATGTGCAGACTGCAAAGCTGTTTCAACTGCAAGGTCAGTGGTTCAAACTCACCAGCTGCTCCTCAGAAACCCTATACAGGGTCGCACTATGGGTCGTAAACGACTGAACGGCACTTGACAACATAACAACAACAATGCACAGAAAGCACTATCAATTTTTATTAAAAAGAAATGGAAGCATAGAGCAGTGTGGTAAGGCATGTAGCTAGTAAACAGTCACGCTAGGATTTGAATGCAGGAGTCTGAGTCCAGAGCCAGTGCTCTGAGTCTCTTCTCTATACTGCTTCTTAACTTTTCCACAAAGCTGTTACTAATACTATCATTTTTGCCACTCAGAACCTCTCTACAGAAGCTCATGTGTGAAATGTCTTTTGCAATTTGGTGGTCAGAAAAGTTTGTCTTCCACACACCAAAAAACCTAGTATGCTTCCTCTTTTTTGAAAAGGAGAATTATGCAATTGATCCTGTGCTCTTTTTTGTCTTGCCTGCTAGGAAGTTCAGATTTAGATTATATGCTCAATCACAGCCACCAAATGATTTCCTTCTTCCTATATCTTGTTCCTTATTTTCCCTTTTAATTCCTCTTAAAACAAAACAAAACAAACACTAAACTAACATTTTCCTTTGTGTCTGTTAAATAGAGGGCTCAAATGGACTTGGCAAACTTGGTTGGTTGGTTATGTGCTGTGGAGTTGTTGAGCAACCCTGTACAGGGTTTCCGAGGCTATAACTCTTTACGGGAGCAGAAAGCCTCATCTTTCTCCCGTGGAACAGCTGGCAGTTTCAAACTGCCGACCTTAAGCTTTGCAGCCCGATTTATAACCACTATGCTACCAGAGCTCCTTGGCAAACTTGGGCTCAAAATAAGCAACTAAAAGTCTGAAATCTGTGTAAAAGACTTCTGTTTTGTGCCTCGCCTGTGTCACTTGCTTAAAGAAAAGTGATCTGGGGAAATATTTGGAGAAACAATTTAAGAGCTATTTTAAACGGGGGTGGAGGGAGCAGTGAGGCGGGGGAACCAACAGAAAAACAGAGCCACCAACACCAACAGAGGCCAAGAGAAATGCAAACAGCAGTAAATATTCTGGGACTAGAAGCATTTGTGCTTTCCCTGGCGGGAACCTATCATTTCTTAATTATATCCTATGTGTGTTTTGCAAGATGTAAGCTGCTGTCAAGAGAAAGGACAGCTTCAGACAGGGGAGGGACCACAGCCTGCCCCTAAGTCCTCACATACCTGTACAGAAGTGAAATCCCCCGAGGCACAGGCACCCAGAATAGCAGCGCCCACAAGAACAGACTCCACCTCTTGCGACAGGACCACGGGCATGCCTGCACAAGACAAGGGCACACCTCAGTTATGGAGCAGAGTCAGGCGCAGTGTGGGGAGCCAGCAAGTAACCCCAGCAGCAGAAACACCTGATGTCAAGGTAGCAGCAGGCAACCCCTGCCACCCCCATGCAGTTCCCCATGCCTTGCGATTATCTGGTGCTAAAAGATTTTACTGTTGGCACAGAAGCCAAGCCCCTATGGGAATCAACACCATATATATCAACTCATGAAACATTCTTGCCCAGGTTTCCCAGGCTTCTATTAGCGGCTACCGGCCTTTTGGTTCAAGTTCAGTTCAACAAATATTTTATTAAGTGCTTTGCTGTACTCAGTGTTGTTCTGTAGTCCTCAACGGGGAGAAGGATGAGAAAGAGGGAAAGGCCAGGCCGAGGGTTGGTTCTCTAACTGAGATGCATTAAGAACAGGGAAGAAGAACTGCGTGATTAATCCCTTCAGTGGCTTCCCATCTCTGTCCAAGTACAGAATCTTGACTTCACTGTCCCCAGCCTAAACTTCTCTGCTCTCCTCCTAGCCAATTACCCTGGCTTTCTTGCTTTTCCTTGACTATGTTTCAGGGACCTTGCTTTTGTTCCTTCTGTCTGGAACACTTCCTCCTGGATGTCCACATGTCCGCTCCCTCACCCTCCTTCAAGCCTTTGCTCAAATATCCCCTTCCACTAGGCCTTCCTGGTGATGCAATTTGAAACGACAACTTGCCGCAACACCCCTTCTGTCCCTTTCTGTTTCCTGATTACTATCTAACACTGTGTTGCACTTTTTCACAATCATGTGTATTGTCTCTCCTGCTAGAAAATAAGCACCAGAAAAGGTAAGGATTTTGTTTTGTCCACTGCGGTGTCTCTGGCATTTATAACGGTACCCAGGACATGTTGTTGTTGTTAAGTGCTGTTGAATTGGTTTAGACTCATAGCAATCCTATAAAAAAGTTTTCAAGAAGCTGGCAGATTTGAATCACCCACCTGGAGGTTAGCAGTTTAGTGCTTATCCTACAGCACCACACCAGGACTCCTAGGGCATGGTAAATACTCACAAAGTGTCTGATGAAACAAACAAACAAACAAACAAACAAATTTCCAGGGAGGTGATCATCCCCACTGTGATAGAGTAGAGATGAGGATTCAACAGGATGAGTACATTCCCAGGAGGCAAGGAGGAGCACTCCATAGCAAATTCAAGGGCTGGGGGATCAGGAGGAATTGAAATAATTCAGGATTTAAGTCTTTATATGATGAGTCCTGTTGGTACAGTGGCTAAGTGGTTAAGCACTCAACTGCTAACCAAAAAGTCAGTGGTTTGAACTCACCAACTGCTCCATAAGAGAAAAGTCATGGCCATCTGTAAGGATCACAGCCTGGGAAATCCTATCAGAGACTTCTGCTCTATCACTATGAGTCTTTGTGAATCAGGATGGACTTGACGGCACATAACAACAGCATACGTCTTTATATGGAGTCCCTGGATGGTGCAAACAGTTATGCACTCAATAACTAGCCAACATTTAGCAGTTCAAATCCATCCAGAGTAGCTCAAAAGACATGCTTGGTGAGCTGCTTCCAAAACATCATAGCTTTGCAAATTCTATGGAGCAATTCTACTCTGCATACATGGGGGCCCCAGGAGTTGGAATCTATTTGATGGCAATCAACACGTTTATATCTATGGCTATTGCGGTATGGTGCTGCAGGGGCAGCAGTGGACTGCTAACCACAAGGTCAGCAGTTCAAACACACCAGCTGTTCCTTGGAAATCCTGTAGAGGGTCACTATGGAACCGACTTGATAGGACTTAACAAGTACAGCAATTGTTGTTAGTTGTCATCAAAAGTTGGCCCCTAACTCATGGGGAAGATGCTGTCTGTCCTGTACCATCTCCATAACTGTCTGTGAATCACTGGGCAATTTTTAGAAGTCGATTGTCTGGCCATTGTTCCTAGTATACCTTAGTCTGGAAGTGCCACTAAAACTGCTCACCATTCTGCCAACACAAAGCCTCCACTGACAGATAGCACATGATTGAAATGTATATTAGGTGCCATCTTGTCAGTTCAGTTCACAGTGACCCCATGTACACAGGAAGAAAATCCAGCCTGGTCCTCCACCATCCTCACAATCACTGTTACGTTTGAACCCACTCTTGCAGTCACTGTGTCAGTCCATCTTGGTGAGGGGCATTGAAAGTCTCCCTCTGCTTGCTGACTTTCTATTTTTATCAAGCACAATGTTCTTCTCCATTAGGGTCTATCCCTCCTAATGACATGCCCAAAGTCCTTGAGAAGTTACTCCATCCTCACTTGTAAGGAGCAATCTGGCTGTCCCTCTTCCAAGGCAGATTTGTTTTTTTTTTCTGGCAGTCTCTGGCATATTCAATATTCTTTACCAACACCATAATTCATATGCATCAATCCTTCTCTGATATTCCTTATTCATTGTCTATATATATATACATATGTGAGAGGACTATGTGGTTTACAAAAAATGAACAATGAGTGTGTTATTTGCTTAAAACTATTATATATATTGGAGTCCTGGTGTGGTGCTGTAGGTTAATGTGCTGGACTGCAAAGCCATTGAAACCACAAGGTCAGCAGTTTAAGCTCATCAGCCACCCCTCAGAAATCCTATACAGGGTCGCTGTAGGTTGGAACTGATTGGATAGAACTTAACAACAAAATTGTATATATTTATATATAAACACACACACACACACACATATATACATGTACACATACATGTGTATGTAACTGCCAATCAGGAGATGACAACAAACTCCACACAGTAAGCTTTGTGGCCAGATCCATAAGATCTTCCTCTACTCAAATAATTATTTTTCCCAATTTTTGATGTTTCTTCTAGTGTTTTCTGGATAGACTTCCCTAGTGGCCCCTCCCCTACATTCTTACTACCTCCGACCCCCTCCTTTTGATCCAGGGCTTGGTCAGTTGCTCCAGCCATCTAAGACACAGAGGATGGGGCATAGAACTCCCATATAAACTCCAGGGGATTAATGGACCCTAGAGTCCTCACTGCACATAGGAAAAGTCTCAAGTGCTAGCCCTGCAGTATGGAAAGCTCTGACCTGGTTTTGCTTCCGGGTTCTACTAGCTCTGTAACCTTCAACAAGTCACTGAAACCCTTTTAGCCTCAGTTTCTCCAACTGTAAAACATGAATGAGGATAATTAATATATTCCCGATAGATCTTTTGTGAAGATAAATGAGAGAATGCATATATAGTGCTTAGTACATTTTCTGGCCTATGGTAATCCCACAAGATGGTGGCTGCTGTTACTAGAATTAATACTGATGGTGAGTGAAGTCTTTCAATATGCACTTCTCCTGGACCAGAAACTGGATAGGTGGTATAGAGGATGTGGGGGATGGTCAAGACAGACCACACTGTGGGCTGCAATGGAATTGCACCTACGTCGGTGTGACTTCCCATGGATATGGAGCCTATTAGGAGATAGAATGTCCAAATTCCATTCTCCTCCCACCTCCTCCTTAGCTTGTCAACAGGTTCACTAGTTCTAACTCAGGGAGGAGCTACTGACGGACCTTTCCCCTTGGGAACCAGAGTTCCAGTTGAACCTGGTGAATCCAGTATTAGTTCTCAAGTTGTACCCCAATGCTTTCTGGTGCCAGATTGCCAGGTTTGAGTGCTGGCTGCCTCACTGACTTAGCTGTGTGATCCTGGGCAAATTACTCAACCTCTCCATGCCTCAGGTTCCTCATCTGAAAAATGCAGTTAAAATTCCACCTATCTCACAGAGATGGTTGTGAGGGGTAAAAATGTTGATATAAATAAGGCACTTATATCAGTCAATATAAACAACACACTTAGAGCGATGCTTGGTTCACAGGAAGCCCCGCATTAGCAGTAGCTGTTTCTTTACTTGAAGTTTACCCCTGAAGTCTTCAGATCTCTGGTCTTCCTTTGCATCTGTCACCCTTAGAAGGAGCCCTGGTAGAGCTGTGGGTTAGGCATTGGGCTGCTAACGACAAGGTGGTTGGTTCTAACTCACCAGTTGCTTCACAGGGGAAAGGTGAGACTGTCTGCTCCCCTAAAGATTTAGTCTCAAACCCCACACAGGGCCACTATGAGTTGGAACAGACTTGCTGGCAGTGAGTTTGGATCACTCTTGGTGGAACTAACCTGTGACTGGACATCTGCTAATTCCTCCTTAGATTCCCTCCTGTCTTCAGTCCTGCTCTGTGCCTTGGGAGACTGGCTGATAGGGACCACATCTGAAACCTTTTTGGTAGTATCCTTGACTAAGCACCTGTCAGACAGTCCTGTTAATGTAGTGAGTGCTTTCAGTCTTGAGTTACATTACTGTTCCCTGACTCACCCTCACAGACATAGGGGTGTCAATACTGTTAGTAGCTCCAGGGTCCTACTACCTAGTCACCTGTACACCTTGTGCACCCAGTGTCAGTTGCTCTGATTCCTGGTGGCCCCATGTGTAGAACTGTGCTCCACAGGGTTTCCAATGGTTGAGTCTCAAAAGCAGATCTCCAAGTCTTTGTTCTGAGACACCTCTGGGTAGATTCAGATTCCTTAACTTTAACCCTCTATAGGGTTTCCATGGAGAACCTTATTTGTCGAGTGGCCACACCAGGACTTAGCTTTATGTTAATTGTTTGCACTATCCAGGGAGTCTACAACTTACTCATACCTCTGTAAATGGACTGTTTATTCAACTTTTCCTCCAATTAATGCAGTTTGAGTGTGCCATCTCCTCTCTGCTCGACCCTGATTGGCACAGACCCCTCATTCTCTGGGTCCCCTGCCCGTCCTCTCTCCAGAGAGCAGTCCGAGCACAGAGAACACTTTTTTGTGTGCTTTGTAATGAATTCTTGGCAGAACATCATTGTTCTTCTTTGCATCCCCATGCCAAGCTCAGTGATTGTTTTCAAGGGAATAAATGGATGAACAAATGATTAAAACAGTGAATAATAGGAAGTGGGAAACCCCCATTCTAATGGTCAGCATGAAAAAATGAAAAACCAAAAACCAAATTTAGAAGGAACATTTAGCTCCCCAGTCAGTGAGGGGAACCTGTTAGTGCACAATTATTTAGTGCACACCAACTCTTTCTTGAAACCACAGTAAACTAAGGGGCTGAGATACACAGAGGCCCTTCTTCCTATGTAGAGGAATTTCTCAAGTTGGCAATGCCTCATTGCCCTGCTTGCATGGAGCAAGCTGTTCCCAAAACGGCAAAGATTACTTACAACATATTAAACTGCCCCCCTCTTTTTTTTTCAAACATACCTCCTCCTTTTTTGGCCTGAGGCTGCCTGGACAGACAATGTAAACTACCATTCATTGAATACCTCCTGTGAGGCAGACAGAGTAGGGTGCTTACAACCTTGGGAGCATTTATTCCTCAACTCAGTGCATACTAAGGAGATCATATTATCTCCATTTTCCAAAAGAGAGAACGGAGATTCAGAGAGGTAAAGCAACCAATGCCACAAAGCTGGTCTTCTGTTGTTTCCAAAGAATCCTCTGTGTTCCCTGCACTTTTCATTTTCATATGTATGCCTGCGATTCATGAACTGGGTCTAGGGTTCTCTCTAAACCTTTCTTTAAAAGAAAACTAGAACAACTACAATGTTTAAAGTACCAAGGATGTTACCTGCTGTTCTGTATGTGCTTTTTGCAGCAACACATGCAGATATGTTCTTTTCTCTGAGTACTGGGTAAAGGAGAGGAAGAGAGCAACTTTGCCTGGAATCTCAAGTATTTTATCTGACTCATTACTGAATTTAGCAGAACCCAAAGCATTTAAAGGCAGATGCACTTTGCCATCGCTTGTCAGTCACAGGCTTCCAAAGGAAGAGGAATTCCAGGCCTAAGAAAGGGTCCCTTTGTCCAGAACTGTAACTGGTCCATAGTTAGAGACAAAAGGGTCCAGTTTCAATCGGAATCCAAATAACGATTAACAGCCTTCCATTGAAAGGCCTGGCGGAGAACAGTCTCCAAAGCAGAACTTTATGTGAAGCCACTGCCCACCCGCCCTCCCCTCCCTGCTTCTGAGTCAGCTCAGGGGTGGTAAGGCCTGGACTGTGGCCCATTTCACAAAGGAGGCTGGAGCCAGCCGTGGTTTAGAATCAGTGCCCTGGGTCACTCAATAGCAGCCTGGCTCTGGGGTTGAGGGGCCTATTTCCTACCCCCTTGGCTAATATAATATGCTTCCCAAAACTGATTTTCATTTTGCCTCCTGCATTCAGGAGGGACTTCTTTTTGACAATTGTCATTAGAAGCCACTGAGTTGATTTCGGCTCATAGTGACTCATTGTGTCTGAGAACTTCCCTCAGAGGGGTTTTCGAAGCTGAGCATTGAGCCAGTGTTCCACCAGGGCTCCTACTGGAAAACTAGAAATTGGAAAGTCACAGGTCACATTTTAAATGGAGTCTTGTCTGAATCAGTCAACTGATTTTTTTTTTTTTTTTTTTCAAAATTAAAAAAACAGTGTGTGTGTATGAATTGGGTGACGCTTTACAGAGCAAATCAGGTTTCTAGTCAACAATACACACACAGTTTGTTTCATCTTGTTGACTGCAATCCTCACAATGCAATATGACTCATCCCACTTCCTCCTTGTGTTTCTCATCTCCAGGCCTCCCTCTTTCTCAACTCTATCCAAAACTCTAGGGCAAATGCTGACCTTTTGGTTTCAAATGGTTGATTATTCTAAGATGTGCCTACCTCACTAATGTTGTTATTTACCCTATAGACTTTTTTGATCTATTGTTTGGCTTAAAACTGAGCCACAGGGGTCAGCGCCTAACTGATTTTTAGATAAAATATTGTCATTGTTCTTGTTATTGTTCCATGCCATTGAGTCAGACGAAATGTGGTTACGTTCTTTACTTCTCAAGAAACTGATAATGTAATCCGGGCTCCCTTTTTTATCCATTTCCTCTGTCTGCCTCAGAAGGGCAAACTTCCATAGGTATTGGAGGCCTTAGGAAAGAAAGACCATCATCAAATGGTTACAAACTTGGCAGCAACCTAGTGTAGAGGAAAGAACGGAGATGTTGGGTCTAGACATCTGTGGATTGTAATATTGGTCCTGCCCTCACTGGCGGTTTGACTTTAAATAGTTTAATTTAGCTCCCTGGTCTTCAGTTTCTTTGTCTATAAGATGAGGGCTTCAGTCCTATCTTTTCCTGGTGTGTGAGCATTGAAAGGAGAGCAAGTGAATAATACGAACACACAGTGGGCACCTGCTTAATAATATAGCACATTTCATACCCCATGTCCTGAGATATTTATCCTTAGACTGTGTGCCTTTCCATAGGGTCATCTGCCTTGTGTCTCAGTCCACCTACCTCTAAGACAGGGAAAATTAACTTATTTGGTTTCATCTTGCTATGGAGTATAAACAATATCCATCATATTCGGTAACACTCTCACCTGTAGGAAGCCGCCACAGGCATGGCCATGGATAGAGAAAACGAGGGGATAACACAATGGGAGGGCCAGAGACATTGGCCCACCCAGCTGTTAGAAGTAAGGCACTCAGAGGATGGGAGATAGCAAGGGGGTGTCATGAATGGAGGCCAGAGTCAGGTGTCTCTTCTCATTTAGAGTGGGGCTAGGGGCCAGGTCCAATTCTCCTTCCTCTCTGCCTTTGTGTGACCCTGGTACCTGGTCACTTTGGGATGGGTCCTTAGGAATCAGGGGGACAGAAAGGTACAGGAGGGGTGAGAGCACCTGGCTCAGAGGGACAGAAGTCCAGGCCAACTTTTGTGACACCAACAAACCTCCTGTCATTGGGGCTTCTTCCTTGGGCTTAGGGGACTCTACTGAGGATCCTGTCTTCTGCTGTCTGCCCATACTTGGCTGATTACTCTGGATTCTCTCCATTTGCACCATGATCCTTGATTCTAACGAACTGAGAAGGAATCATAGGGTCTCAAGATTTAGGAGCTCAAATCCCTAATCTGCAGCCAGACCCACAGTTCCCACACAGCATCTGGGTTCAGCACTTTTTCTTTAATATGGCTCTGATAACACTTTCTCCCAAATACTTCAAGACTGGTTGAAGGGCCTACCGTGTCTCCATAATTGCTGTGCTGGGCTCACTCTGAGCTCTTGCCATACTACATTTAATATGTCTGCTTGCCCCTCTCAATAGATTGTGGTTTCCTGGGCACAGTGATCATGTCTTCCTCATCTCTGTATCTTCAATACTCCCCACAATGCCTGGATCAGAAGAGATACTTGAAACTGTTGAGTAAATGCCTGTATTGGGCTCTAGCTCCTGTTGACTTCTCTTAGCTCATTTCAATAGTTAGACATACATAGAAGTCATTTTTCTCATCAAGAAAAAAAAAAAAGCACAACTTTTAAACACAGAAATCCAAAATAATTTGGCGCACTACCTGCCCAGAGCTCAGCCATGCCCATTTGCTGCCAAATCCACAATGGCCTTCTCTCTTCCTCCCCAGACTTACCAGTAATGTCTGCATGCATTTGCACAAAAAGGGAATTCTTGCTCAGGCCCCCACACAGGAAAAGTGTACTGATAGAGTGTCCCGCTGCTTCCATAGCCTCTATAATGTGACGGGTTCCAAACTTAGAAGAAAAGGCACAAGATAGCATCATGAGTACAGCAAAAATAGTAAAGGGCATTGAACATGTACAGTGTTGACCTAGTGCCAGACACTGCCCTTAGAGCTTTATGTACACTATTTCAGAAACCGAGACCCAGAGAGATCATGGTGCTTAGCGTCACACAGCTAATTAAGTTGGAGGGTGGGAATTCCAACACGGGCTAGCTTGACTCCAAGTCCTCTTCACCACTACACTATTTGCTTCTATCAGTAGTGACACAGTCTTGACAAAAACAATGGACAATGCTAACAGAGTTAATATTAACACCGTTCATTCAAACAAATATTTAGTACATGTCTATGGTGGCCCAAGCCTTCCATTAAGTACTTGGAATAGAATGATTTGCAACAGTTTTCAGGAATTAATCAAGTCAGTGATTCCCAGTCAGTCTTCCTTTACTGAATTCACACTACAGATGTTTGAACTTTGGAGAAGGCATGCAAACAAGTCTCTCAAAGGTGAGGCACAAGGTTTCAGGCTTCAAAGGGCTGGAATTAGTTTTCTTGTCACCTGAAACTAGATTTGCTAAGTTGTTAAGTGCCATCCAGTCTGATTCATATAGACCAAGGAGCAGCTAGTAGGTTTGAACTGACTACAGCAACACACCAGGAGTTCTAGTAGATTCCTAGGTAGCGGTTCTCTAATAATGAGGTTTCTGGAGCCAGAATCCATTCCCAGTCAGTCCTTAATGATGGAAAATCACATGGTCTGGTTGACTCAGGACTTCCCTATTTCCATTCCCTTCCCAGTGCCCTATTATCTTCCTATAATGCATTATCCTAATATTTGTCTTGCTAAGTATACTAAACTCAATAAAAACTTTGGATGCTTGAGAAGAAGGCATTGCCTTAGCTCTCAAGGTGAATTTTAACACAAAATTCTTTAGATTAATCTAGGACATTTGAATAGCTAAAAATCATACTTTGTTTGGAAGTTCAAGAACTGGAAGTTCAAAAATTAATTTTATATAAGGATTACAAACCAAAAGATGAACTGTGTATGGCATGACCTTATGGAGTCAGCTGGATGGTGACGCTTGAGAAAGTGAGTTCAGAGAGAAAGACTGTTGTTGTTGTCAGGTACCTGACTCACAGTAACCCTTTGCATAACAGAATGAAGCACTGCCCAATCCTGGGCCATCCTCACAATTGTTGTTATGTTTGAGCCCATTGCTGCTGCCATGGAGCCAATCCATTTTGTTGGGGGTCTTCCTCTTTGTCACTAACCTTTTTCACTTACCAAGCCTGATGTCCTTCTCCAAGGACTGGTTCCCCCTTGTAACATGTGTGAAGTATGCTAGACAAAGTCTCACCATAAGGAAGAGGTTTTTGTCCCCTAGGACTGTGAAGTTTTGAAGGGTAGGTCATCCTTGAAATATTTAGAGGTTGAGCAATTCAGAGGTGGAGCCGGGGGATATGTGACAAAGTTCCAGGAGCTACATAAAAGTTTTTAGTGCAAGTGTGACAAGCTTGTTGGGAAGGTGGTACTCAAGTGCACAGAGAAGACAGGAGTTTAGCTTGAGGGCAAGATGGATCAGAGGTTTCATCAAGGTACGGGAGCAGAGTCTGGGAGGAGTCCAACTCTTCACTTGACCTAAGCCCTGAGGAGGTGGGATGGAAAGCACTGGAAGTAAACTGGAGAGTTGTCTGCACTGCCCCTTGAGGTGTGTGCTGGGGAGGGACTAGCCACAGGGTCATTTGTGGAGCACAGGACATGAAATCCTGATAGCTGTGCAGTCAATGATGAAGGACTTACTGAGGAGCAAAAGGCAGCATAGTTCCAGACCAGAGGTCTTTAAAGTTCACTGAAGCTATGTGTGAATCTGGTAAGAATATGAATTAGGTGAAATTTGGGCCTTCAAAGATAATCCACAGATGAAATGTGTTTAAAAAATTAAAACATGTTGTACTGTATACGGCCAGATCCTGCTAATTGAATATGACTGATTAGCCCCAGATGTTCTTTCTTAAGTATTTTGGAGGTCACGAACCCCCTTGGGAATCTGATAAAACCTACTGACCTCTCTAGAAAAGACAATTCACATTCATAAATATATTATAAATAATTGCAGGAGGTCTACAATATCTCCCATCTGCTCCTTGGAAACCCTATACAGGGTCGCTTTAAGCCGGAACTGACTTGACAGCTTTTAACAACAACAGTGCCCTGAAGTCTACCATGGATTATTTGGTTCTGTGGATTCCATGTAATCTTAGTCTGTTCTAAGACATGAGTCTATATAGTTAAGAACACAAGTTTTGAATTAAAAAAAAAAAAAAAAAAGGTGGGAGATTCAGGTACTTCACCTATTCCTTGTATCAACCTCATACCTAGCATTTTTAACTCAATTCTCATTTTTAAAATGGGAATAATAATACCATATATACTTCTTGGAAATGATATGGGTTGTCAAAAATGTTATCATGCAACAAACAAACAAAAAATGAGGTCATGGGGTATAGCCTGCAAGGTTGTGAGGAAACATGCCCATTCATAGGGTGTTGAGTTCAGATGTGTGCGCTAGTCAATCAGTAGTATGTGATTCCAGGATACAAAATCCTTATCCTATGCAGAGAAGCCCCATTCTTTATCATCTTTCCTGTGCGGGCGCTTCAGACTGAACCTCTCATCTCTACTAGAAAAGTAACTACAAGAGGACTCCTCTCCCTCCGTAGGTCTGTTGTAGTATCTACATCATGAACAAAGAGTAATACATTCTCTTCTCCTGGGAGCAAAGCCCCAAGTAAGCATGGGATTGCCAAAACAAACCATTATCTGAGTGGTATTATACCTCCATTATTTTATATTTGTGAGTGATTTTTTTTTCCCCCCCAGAAGAGTACACTGGCCAAGATTTATATACCTTGTAAGAAATTATTTGTGACCTTCTGTTTCGCATTCCTGGTGTGGTACTGTGGGTTAATGGGCTGGACTGCAACGTCAGTTTGAACTGCAAGGTTGGTGATTCAAGCTCACCAGCAGCTTCTGGGAAACCCTATACAGGGTTGCTGTGGGGTCAGAACTGACTTGATGGCACTTAACAACGACAGCAACATTTGGACAGGAAAATCAAACTTATTGTGTGTCATTCCATCAGTTGAGTGACTAATCATTGAAATTGAATGCCTTATTGTCTTTTTAATTGAATATTGTCTTTATAAAATAAGAGAACAACAAATAACAATACATACTTTACATGGTTGCTGATGTAGACAACACATATAAAACTGGTACCCAAGTGCTCAGCCTTTGGAAAGTGCTCATAAATGAAAGCTACTGAGTACTAGCTATATACCAGGTACTCTGAAAACTGCCTGGATGGTGCAAACTGCTAATATATTTGGTTGTAAAAAAATTTACAGGTCCAAGTCCACCCAGAAACATCTTACAAGATAGGCTTGACAGTCTATTTCTGAAAATATGAATTTTTGAAAACCCTATTAAGCAGAGTTCTATCTACTCTTACAAGGAGCTCTGGTAGCGTAGTGGTTACGAATCGGGCTGCGAACCTTAAGGTCAGCGGTTCGAAACTACTAGCCGCTCCGCGGGAGAAAGATGAGGCTTTCTACTCCCGTAAAGATTTACACCCTCGGAAACCCTGTACAGGGTCGCTATGGGTCGGAACCGACTCGACGGCACTTAACAACAACATCTACTCTTACACACATGGGACCAACATGAGTTAGAATCAACTCAACAGCAACTGATAGTGAAGGGTACCCTCTAATACACTTCAGTGTCTTAGGACAAACTTGAAAACTGCTTATTGCAACCCCAATTTTTAGAGAGTTGGGAACTGAGATTAAGAGGAGTTACATAATTTGCATTAGGCAATATAGTCCTTGTGTGTGTTAGGAGTATGTGTTAGCTGCCTTTCAATTTGCATAGGAATGCCATGTAAAATGGACATTCTGGTATTTCTTAGACCAGGGACCATGGCCCACGTGATGAGCAGGCACACACATTCCTTGGGAAAAGGAAACAAGTGATCTGCATATGAGGCACTCCCATGAGAGGGGCTGTGACAGCCTGCTCTGGCACAAGCTGCATTGTGGACTGGAATTTCCCACTCGGGTGGGCAGTTAGTTACAGAGCATTCTCTTTGGGGTCCCAGACTGCAGTCTGTGTATTGCTCCTCCCTCCTTAAATGCCCCGCCAAAGGGCTTTGTGTGAAAATGATTTTGTGCTCACCTTTCTGGAAAAAATGTTTTCACAGAGAATTTAAATTAAAATTAGGCAATTCTACTGGGAATATACAGAACAAAATGCAAATGGCGAGGCTTCAAATGCAAATAGTACTCTCTAAGGGTCTTTTCTGAAAAGAAAACTATAGATGAACAGGCTATGGATAAAACTGGGTGTTTGACAGGTCTTTTAATTAAGCACGATCAAGAAGGGTTTTGCACAGTCCCAAGTGAACTTCCTTTGGATCTCTCTGTAACTTCAACCCATTCCTACAAATATCAATCACAGATATTACTATACAGAGGAATTCATTTGAGTTATGAATAATGAATAGGTGTAAGTACAATGTTTCAGTCCAATGAAATTCTTTTTCAGATGGAACATCCTGGGAAAATATCTGTTATCAGAATGCTTCATTAAGAAGCACATATTTTTTCCCCCTAAAAGATCAGCAAGACCAGATTACAATTATGGACTCTATAGTAATGTCTTACCTGAAAATGTACCTGAAATGCCTTTCCTCCATGGAATTATAAAGGTCATTATGACAATGGTGAGAATAATTAGTATCGCTTTTTAATACATGTACGGACAATTAAATACAAGATTGATTTTCACAGTGTGTGGTAGTTGGGAAAAGGCAGCTGGCTTCTCCCCCTCTTGCCTACATTAAATTTAACATTATTTAGGAATTCCTGGACTTCTGATGCAGTGCTCTTACCAGCAAGGGGACCTCTGTGGGACAACCTCAGGCCAAATTAATGCGGTGTGGCGCTGTGGGCTAATGCGTCAGAGTGCAAAGTCATTTGAACTGCAAGGTCAGTGGTTCAAGCTCACCAGTTGCTCCTTGGAAACACTATACAAGTTCACTATGGGTCAGAATCAACTCAGTGGCACTTATCAACAACAACACTTTGTAGTAAGGAACCATCATTCCTGAGATTGCCTGACAACTCATTTCTATCATGTAGCTCTTACAGAGAGATCAAAGAAAATACAGTATGGTGAAGTACATAGAGAAGCAGCTCAAGTGGGAGATAGATAGGTTCAAATTCCTACTCTATCACTCCCTGGGGGTAAGGGGGATGGTTCAGTGGCAGAATTCTCACCTCCCTTGAGGAAGCTCATTCTCAGCCAATGCAGCTCATGTGTAGCTATTACCTGTTAGTTAGTGGAGGCTTTTGAGTTGCTAAGATAATGAACAAGTTTTAGTGGAGCTCCCAAATTAAGACAGTCTAGGAAGAGTCTTGTAAACCTTAGCCAATGAACACTCTATGGCTCACTGCAGTCTGATATGCAAGTGATCATGGGGATGGTGCAGGAGGACTGGTAGCATTTTGTGTCCTTGTGCATTGGGATACCATGAGTAAGGACTGACTTGTGGACAACTACAACAGCCATCACAACTGCTCACTGGCTGTTTGACCTTGAGCAAAAGGTCTTCCCTATGTAAAATGAGGACAATCCCATCTCATCAGCCCTAAACCACAGGTAAGTGAGGCATTGTAGTGCCTGGCCCAGGGAAAGGTAGTAGTCATTATGATCATGTTTAGCCTCAGGTTGCATGCTATGTTTTAGCAGGTATTCAGAAGGTAACATCACTACTTTGATTATTTTTTTCAATGGAGGTAATCCATTCCACTATAGAAATCTTTGTACAGTAAAATTAGGAAATAAAAAAATAAAAGCTCCTCACTACTTCACATATCCATATTTTAGAATGTTGTGAATTCAAGCCCAGCTCTGCTACTTACTAGCTATATGACCTAGAGCAAGTTAATTAACTAGGCTGAGGTTTAAGGGCTCTAATCTGTAGAATGAGGATTATAACACCCATCTCATGAAGTGAAACTAGATAATTCATGCAAAGTGTTCAGCATAGAGCCCAGCACATAATTAACACTCCCAAAGCGGTATTGCAACAACAACTGTAATCATTATCACGAAACAGGATCATGAAACAATTGTCATTACTCTGAGGCATCCTTTTGCTCTCCATTTCCATTGCACTGTTCACTTCCTCTATTTTGACAGATGTTAGAATTGACTATTTTTGACCAAGTTTCCATGGATAAAGCAATTTGATTGATTATACTGAACTGGCCAAACCATTAAATCAATAAGAAGCCTGGTTCAGGAAGACACAGTCAACCTGGTCTATATGCTAAAAGGACTGTTTTAATCTAATTAAGCAATTCCATATTCCTTTGTTGTTGCATTAAAGACAATGTTTTCTTATAGAAGGAAAATTCTGCTCCCATGTTGCCCCTGGCACCTTGGACAAATCTGAGCATATGAGAAGCACATTTGTTGGTGATATTGGTAAATATGCATATAATTTTAGTATTTGAAGTAAAGCAGTTATGAAACGGATTGGAGAAATAGAATAACTAAACAGCATATAAATATGTCCATATGACATTAACAAACTGAAAAACTATAAATAGACATGCTTCTGAAAAATCAAAACTTAGTGAATTGATTTTCCTTTGGATGGTTCCCATTCTCTTTATAGAAGAGACTATGCATCACTGGATTCATTATTATTTGGGGTTCCTATCTGCTCTGAAACCTGAAAAGCCATAGTTCATTCCATCAAAATGCATTCTCTGACATATGTATACGTGTTCTGCATGCGATTTTGGGAGTTTAGAGTCTTCGTGTGGCCCACCCAAGGATCACCTTTAAAAAATAAAATTCCCTTGGACCATGTTCTTTGTTTCTAGGATTCTGTTTTCATTTTTTGATTCATCATCAATTTAGCAGTTCCTAACATTTGAAATTTAAATCGCCCTACCTTTCTAGTCATCGAAACCTCTCATTTAAGCAGCTATTTACTTAAAAACACACACTCTCATTCATATTCTAAGGAAGATTACTATTTAAAGGAATCCCATAATGATTCCTTTTGGAAAGTAAACAAGTATCTTGCATTTTAGAAATATTGATATTCGTAACAGCAGCTTTTGTTAACACAAACATACCTAGTATCTGCTTGCTGCAACTGCATTTAGAAGACACATTTGATACATAACCTCTACGACATTCAAAGAGTTGTACACTTTTCAGCCTTACGTTTTGTGAGATTATTAGAAAAGTGGGTGAGACCTTCATCAACATTTCCTTCCAAACAGACAAGTGTCTCTTTTTGGCAAGCTTTCTTTTAATTAAGAATCTTTGTCACCAAATCATATGATGTATCTTGGGGAGCATGCAGTCTAAAGCTTATGGATTGCCTAAGTCTCTTTGAAAATGGCATTAAAGTTTCTTACAGCAATGGCTTGAACTGTGGCCAGGTAGAGAATGGCAAGATTATCAAGGTCCTGGGACAGTTTCAATCCGGTGACCTGTCGGGAAGAAGAAAAGAAAAGAAGGAGATGGCCATGAGGAGCTGCCACAGAGAGAGATAGTTCCCATGAAACACATTCAGATGTGTTTTCTTGCTGAAACAAGTTCATATGCAAATCCCCTTTTAGCGAGCTGAACGTGAAATGCCTACTAAATTGTTTAATCTCCAGACCTGGGAAAAACTATCCCATTCTCCCCAAAAGAAAATGCCTTGCCTTTGAATTGAACAAAACCAAACACTATAGGAAGACTGCACGGAATTAAATAGCTTTCTTCTTTTAAAAATGCTCCTTTTTATAAAGACGGAAATCCATGAGTGACAGTGGCAACTCTAGGAAGAGATGACCTTTGCCTGGGTTCTGCTACTGTCTCAATTCAGTATAACAGCATCCAGAGGATATTCAGGATAAGATAACATGTCTCCTATAAATGTTTTAAATGCTTTACCTACTAGGAAATGGTCTGAATTCTATGGTATCCCAATGAAGTCAATCAGAACCATATGCTTATATGGATACGTCAATTTCTGAGAGTTTTCAGAACTGAACAGCATTCTGGATTTGGATGATATCTCAAGACTTGTTCACTCTCTCCCCTTCACATTTCCCATTTACTGAGGTGTTCTCTCTTTCAGGTTAATCCTAGAAAGTGCTTTCTTCAAGCCTAGCCTGAAGCCTGTTGGCACCAACATTAGAATTCACTTTAGATTTTCACATTACAAATTAACTCATGTAATATACATTTACTCAGGGAAACTCATTTGCTAGAAAAGAACATCATGAACATCATGTTTGATAGAGGGTCAGAGAAAGTGAGGAGAATTCCCAATGAGATGGGTTGACACAATAGACCCAACAATGGGCTCAAACACATCAAAGATCATGGAGACGGTGAAGGACCAGGCAACGTTTCACTGTGCTACACATCAGGATTCAGAGTCCACCAATGGCAACTAACAACAACAAGAATGTGTATTACATCCCTGGGTGTTGCAAATAGTTAATGCCCTCAACTGCTAAAGGAAAGCTGGAAGTTCAAGTCCACCCAGAGACACCTTGGAAGAAAGTCGAGGAAATGCACTTCTGAGAAATCAGTCATTGAACGCCCTATGGGATACAGTTCTACTCTGACATACATGGAATCACCATGAGCGTTAACTCAACAGCAACTGGGATTTTAGAGCGTGTGCCATGCTGAGTTTAACACAGCAGTAAGTATGTAGTTTGAAGGGGAGCTGAGTGAGCTACACAGATGCCTGCCTGTTCTTTATCTCCTAAACCCTATTTAATCATTCTCTTCAGATTTCACTGCCAACCTGGACTTGGTAGTGGTGATGGTGTTGGTGCTGGTGGTGGTGCTGGTGTAGTGGGGAGAGGTCCTGGCCTATTGTAGGCTACAAGCACCATTCAATTGTTCAAATAGAAACCTAGGATCCCTCTTCTTTGACTTTTCCCTCCCTTGCCAGATTTGACCTATCTCCAAGTTCTGCATATTTGATTGTATCCATTTCCTTCTCTTCATCCTCATTGTCACTCACTTTCTAAATCCAGGCCACCATTGGGTCCTTCCTGATAGATGAGGAAGCAAATCTCCTTGTCTCTCACTGTATTCCTCTCTACTGTCCAGCCAGTGATTATTCACAAATGTCAGTTTCATCCTTACTCTTCTGCTCAAAGTCCTCCTGGTACCTTCAGTTCACAAAGGAAATGCCTTCATGTGTCCATGTGCTCTTTCCACGAGGTCTTATTGTTTACCTCCTACTATCTACTCTTTACTTACTGTTCCTCAACTAACATCCTATACTCCACCTATTCTGAATGACTCATCTAAGTCTATTAATGAGGGGTTCCTGAACTCAGTGGTATTACCTGCTGATAGTGTTTTCTTGGTAAATAATTGTGCAACCAGATGAAATCTCTGGCTTTTATTTTGATTCACAGAAAGCTGAGATATTTGAATAAGAGACTCGAGAGGGACTTAAGGGATGTACCTTCCAAAGCCAATAACTCTATGAAGGCACATCTCTGACAAAATTATCCAGAGACCTAAACGTACATGAAAAATGTTTGAGGTAGGAGAAAACATGAACACTCACCTTACAGAACTTCATTTCATAGATGAGGAGTTAATTTGCCTCAGGGAACATAAATAATTGAAACCAAACATAAAAAGTTTGAATGTCTTATTCACCATGGTATCTTTAATACCTAGCACTGTACCTCGTACATAGTTGGAGCTAAGTAAGCAACATTCATAACACGCTCTAAATGGTGTTTGTTGCTGTTAGGTGCCATCGAGTAAGTACCACCTCATAGCGACCTCCCACACAACAGAACGAAACACTGTCTGGTCCTGCGCCAACCTCACAATTGTTTCTATGCTTGAGCCCATTACTGTTGCCATTGTGCCAACTAGTCTCATTGGGGGTCTTCCTTTTCTTCATTGACCCTCCATTTTAGCAAGCATGCTAGCCTTCTCCAGGGACTGGTCCCTCATAGTAATATGTCTGAAGTATGGGAGAAGAAATCTGGCCATCCTTACTTCTAAGAAGCATTCTGACAGTACTTCTTCCAACACAGATTTGTTTGTTCTTTTGGTAGTCCATGGTACTCCAACACCACAACTCAAATGCAACTCCTCTAACACCATAACTCAAATGCATCAATTCTTCTATGGTCTTATTTATCCACTGTCCAACTTTCAAATGCATATGAAGTTACTGCCCGATCCTGGGCCAACCTCACTATCGTTGCCACGCTTAAGCCCACTGATGCTGCCACTTGGCCAATCCATCTCTCTGGGTGTCTTCCTCTTTTTCTCTGACCCTCCATCCTACCAAAGATGATATCCTTCTTCAGCAACTGGTCCCCCCTGACAATATGTCCGAAGTATGAGAGATGAAGTTTGGTCATCCTAACCTCCAAGGGGCACTCTGGCCGCACTTCTTCTAACACAGATCTGTTGGTTCTTTTGGCAGCCTATGGCACTTTCAATATTCTCCTCCAACACCATAACTTAAAAGCATGAATTTTTCTACAGTCTTCCTTACTGTCCAGCTTTCACATGTATATGAGATTATTGAAAATACCATGGCTTGGGTCAGGTGCACCTTAGTCTTCAAGCTGACATCTTTGCTCTTCAACACTTTTAAAAGGTCTTGTGCAGCAGATTTGCCTAATGCAATATGTAATACATCGGTTGATTTCTTGACTGCTGCTTCCATGAGTGTTGATAGTTGATGCGAGCAAAATGAAGTCGTTGACAACTTCAATATATTCCCCATTTATCTTGATATTTTTTGGTCTAGTGGTGAGGATTCTTATTTTCTTTACAATGAGGTGCAACTGGTATAGATGAGTGATAATTCAATGTTCCTTTTTCCCCCCTTCTGAATGTCACTGTGTCTCCGAATGTCCTATCTTTCTGTGACAATTTATAACATTAGAGCTGAATGATAATTACTACCTGACCTCCTCACACATTCACCAAGGGAAGGAGATATTTTCCAAGGCAGAATAACACCAGAAGAACACGTCTTGTTGCTTATTCTATGTTCTCAATCCTTCCTCCTCTCAAGCCCCTCCATACACACTTATTCTTTCTCATGAGATGGAGACGTAGACTGTCACATCCTTCTCCTGTAGTGTTTGGTGCACTACAACTGCTGACTTTTTGGTACTTAACCAATATGCCATCAGGGCTCCTTATGTGCACATAGGTGACACTGAGTAAATGTTTATTTTTTGTCTTTTAATAAATGTTCTTTTTTTTCTCTCTCTCTTGAATGGTACAAAGGGCTCAGTTCCATTCATTAACTGGGTATTACTCAAAGGAAATTTTCTGTTGAGTTCTTTCACTTCCTCATTTCTTCAAGTTGCTTTAGCAATTCTATGCTCAAGAGCAAGTTTCAGAGTTTATTCTCACATCCATTTTTGTCTTTTCTGTTTGTTTAATGACCTTCTGTTTTCTTCATGTATAATGTTCTTGACGTCATACCACAATTCTGGCTTTTGGTCACTAGTATCTAATGCATTAAATGTGTTCTTGAGATAGTATCTGAATTCAGGTGGGATTACTCGGTGTCATAGTTTGGCGCTTGTGGACTTGTTTTCATTTTCTTCAGCTTTAACTTAAACTTGCAAAGGAGCAATTGATGGTCTGTTCCACAGTTTGCCCCTGGCCTTGTTTTGTATGATGATATTGAGCTTCTCCACCATCTCTTCCCAGAGATGTAGTCAATTTGATCCCTGTGTATTCCATCTGGTGAGGTCTCATGTGTATAGTCACCTTTTATGTTGTTGAAAAAAGGCTATCTGCACTGAATAAGTCATTGATTTTTAAAATTCCATCATGTAATCTCCTGACAAATTTCTATCACTAAAGCCCTATTTTCCAATTACTGATCATTCCTCTTTGCTTCCAACCTTTGCATTCCAATCACCAGTAGTTATCAATGCATCTTGATTGCATGTTTGATCAATTTCGAACTGAAGACATTGGTAGAATTTAATGTTATCATCACTGGTTAGTGCATAAATTTAAATAATAGCGTAACTAATTGTTTTTCCTTGTAGACATATGGATATTATCCTGTCACAGACAGCACTGTCCTTCAAGATAGATCTTGAAATGTTCTTTTAGATAATAAATATAATACTATTCCTCTTCATTTGTCATTTCAGGGAGAGTAAACCATATGACTGTCTAGATCAGAATGTCCAATACCAGATCAGTTCATCTCACTAATGTCTATGATATCAATCTTTATGCATTCCATTTTCTTTTTGATGACTTCCAATTTATGTAGATTTGTACTTCTTACATTGGATGTTCTGATTATTAATGGATGCTTGTAGCTATTTCTTTTCATTTTGAGTTATGCCACATCAGCAAAGGAAGCTCCTGAAGTTTTTCTCTGTTCATATCATTAAGGTCAACTCTCCTTTGAGGAGGCAGCTCCTCCCCAGTCATATTTTGAGTGCCTTCCAACCTGAGGGGC